ATCCTATCATATATGTCTATCTCGTTAATAATTTTTTCTATATATATTGATTTCTTTAATTTATTTTATATTATTAATTTATTTTTTTTTTTGTAGGATTTCTTTGTAGGAAGCAAAATTTAATTAACTTCGGTAATTGGCTGAATAATAACGTTTTATGAATATAATAATTTTAGATGAATAAAAGGTTGTATAGCATTGCTTCTTATAGCAGAAATCTAAATTACTAAAATTTTCAATTAATTATGAAATAAGAGTGATTTTTCGATTATTATTTTTTCTATAAATGAAATGTAATAACTGAAAATTTTAAAAAATGTAATTATCGAGGATTTTATTTTATATATTTTTGTATAAATAAATAATTTTTATTTCCTCGAAAATGGAAAATAATTTTAATTAAATTGGAATATTTATTGAAATTATTTTGAAAAAGTTAAAGTTGTGGCAAACAAATTTTCTGTTATGATGGTATGCATTGAATGTATTGAAATAGTTTGGATTCAATGATCACGTTCCACGAAATTCCATTTATATAATATTGTATGCAATATACAAATATTACTACTATTCTATTTATTATTATATTATACTATATACTACAATTTCTGAAATCTGCAATCTCATTTATATTGTAATTTGCTTTTTTTTTAGTTTATTTAATTTTTCTTTTATTTTTAAAAAAACAAACTTTTATATAAAAATTACAATTTATTTTTTCTTTTATATCTATCTTATTGTTCAATTCTTTATATGATGATAAAAAAATAATTATAATTTTTATATTTTGTCTTAAAATTTCTAAATTAAAAATAGTATATGTTGCTTTTTTATTAATCGAATTTTTATTAATCAAAAATAATTTTTACAAAAGAATTAATGTATTTTTTTCTACGTGCCAGTAAAATGAATAAAATCTAGAAATAAGATAACAATTTTAACATTAAGAAATACTTACTTACTAGATAATATGTTTTAATTTCGATTCTGCAATAATTAAGTAAGCAATTAATATATATATAATAATATATAATATTCTATTATTTTCATAATGATACAATTAAAATTATAGAAAATGAAATTCTCTTTTTTGCATAATTATCTTTTCGAAATATATATAAATTTAATCGAGTTAATTTTAATTAATTTTATCTTTAGTGCATTAATATTAATTTTTTTTTTTACTGCACATAGAATATAATTAATCCTGAAATAAATAAAGAAATAACTCATAAGTTATATAAACTTATCTTTTATGTATTATGTTAAAATTTTTATTATATAGAACATTGTTCTATTATCTCTTGGATGAATTATCCAAATGAAATATTTGCATATAATGAAATGTTATTTTATATTAGAATATTATATATAAATATTGACATTGTATTTATTTTTATCTGCAAAATGAAATTCATAATGATTTAATATGAAATCAAAATAAATAATATATCAAAAAGAGATAAATACATTGATAATTAAAGAAAAATACAAAATAGAAGGAAGAAAACAAGAAGAAAATAAATATAGAAAAAAAATATAATATTGGAAAATCAATTATGATATACTTTAAATTATTTATAAAAGATGTAATTAGATATCTCAATAAACCTTGTTATGTATGATTTCTGCAAAATACAGTGCAAAAATAAAAAATAACTCAATTTGCTTGAAAATTTAATAAAAAATTTTGATAATATATAATAAAAATAAAAAATACTCTCTCAATTTGCTTGAAAGTTTAATAAAAAATTTTGATAATATAATATATATATAAATTTGATTTTTCTTATTTAAAAAAAATAGAATTAATTATCTTTTTATCTTATATTTAATATATCTTATATAAAATTATACAAATTATAATTTATTTTATTTTATTTTAATAAAATATCTATTAATTTTTTTCTTTGAGTAGGTGCATACTAAATATTTATTTCATTATATGAAAATCCTATTATTTAAAAATTTTTATCTTTCAATTAATAGAGGTTCTATTGATTCTTTACATCGGTCTTTTCTTCGCAAGATGCTCGAACTGTCTCCATTATTAGGAATCCTGTTGAACTCAAGTGAACAATGTCATTGAAATAATATATATATTAAATACTTGAATTTTCAATTTCTTTTCGTCTTTTAATAGCTATCATTGTTTATTCATTCATAACAATAATCAATAATCATGATGTAAGATTTTTTATATCATGCATAATATGCTTCGATCTATTATGAGATTATGTTAAAACGAATATTGTAGTCGATTTACAATTAAATATTTCTTGCATAAAAATTAATATATTTCTTTCGTCTAGTAAAATTTTCATCAGCTATTATGTACTTGCTGACTCTGCTATAAGAAAGGACGGATTAATATCGCGCTTTATTGATTTCGTGTCACGCTAAACTGCTTTCTGTTACCGATGGAAGCCATATTCCCGTGTCCCTTCTTCTAGCCTTTGTGAAACATTTCTTATGGTTCACGGTCGTCGTTATTACGTGTACAACAAAAAAAGTCAATCACACTCGTTTCTTATTATAATATTTTTCAATTATTAAATTAATCTAAAGTTAGTAATAACTTTCAGTGCTCTGTCGAAAAGCTCAAAATAACAGTTTGTAACATTTATAATGCAGAGGTTATAAATTGTATACAAACATGGGTTAATATTAAGTTGGCAGCATTGTTTTGAATCTTACCGCTACTAGTAAGATTACTAGTAATAACTTGCATTTATGAGTCAAGATATAGTAAGGTTATAAATTAAACCATTAGAACTCGGCATCGACTGATGTCAAGTGCTGGTACTTATGTACTTAGGGTTGTGTAAGTATTGCAATCTCTCTTCGAAGTTTCAAGTCATAGATATGTCAAAACTGTCGAATATTGACTTGTCGACGTCTTTAGATATTTTAATTTTATGTTTTGGTTTTATCTTTTATCATTTCTTTATTTCTTGGAAAGTTAATATTCCACATAAATATAGTGATGATTTTTGTTAATTTTGTAAATATCATTATTTTTTTTAGAAAATTTTATTTTATTATTAAAATAAAATTTTAATAATAAAAACTTGAAAAATTAATGTATTTTATATTCTTTTATTATGAAAAAGATTAAATTAAATTATTCTATTATCATCATAAAAATAAATAAATATATATTTTCTCTTTTCAATTTGACGTCCAAAATTTATTTAAAAAATTTAGATTAGATTTAAATATTGTATTTTGGTATAGATTTAAATTTTAATAAATTTATTTTAAACATATTTGGAATGAACAAGAATACTTACATTGTTTAAAATTCATTGATATTTCGAAATTATGAAAACAATCATTAATTAGAACTTTCTATAATTTTTAATAAATAATACTAAACGTTAATATTTTTATTATCAATCTCATAATAATAATCATTAAAATTTATATGAATCAAAAGCTACTACTTTGATTCTAAAAATAAAATTTTATAAATGAGCTAGAGATTGAAACATCATCGACGAGGAAGCACGTCAAGATTGCCGATATAGAAAAGATTCGTGGTCGGTTCAGAGGCGTTTGTAAGAGGAATGGAGAGGCGAGGTCGATATTCGAGGAATCCCTGCTCGGATCTATAGCTCCTTATACCTACCTGTTCATGCATTATCTTCCGTTAACTCCGTGCATACCGTTATTCGTTCCTTTGCAACCACCAGCTGTACCGGTTGAGCTGGAATTCGCGTAGGTCTTGATCTCCCACGATCGAGAGACGTGCGCGCGCGCGCGTGCCTTTACTCTTACTTTCGCCTAACGCAACGACCTGCTGTTCGAGTCATAGAATGACACCATTTTTTCACCAATACCGGCTGATCATCGTCAAACATAATGTTTCTCAATATTTCCTGATACACGATTCTCTTTTACATTAATTGAATAAAATACTATCCCCTTTTCTTCCTTGTAATTACAAAATATTTTTTAGTCTTGAATAATTGATTATTTTTCGAAATTGCCGAGTCATTTCCGATCCATGAATTTTTTAAAATTGATTTTTTATTCATAAATATTACTAATATATATAATAATATTATATTAATATATATATAATAATATTAATAGTAATATTACTAATAAATATTCATAAATATTTCTGAATGAATTTATTTGTTATATTTTGAGCAGTAAAAAAAAATAAATTCAAGTTCACATCATAAATTAAAAATGATCCAATCCAGATCGTTTTTTGATCCATGTTTGAATGTGGATATAGTAGATATAGTGTCGCTTTGAAAAATGCAGCTCAAGAACGGCTTTGTTGCCTTTTATGGATCAGACGTACTATTCGGCTTTCTTTGTTCTCGAAAGAGACGAGAGAAAATACAAAAGAACGAGCCAAGGGGCTTGAAATAGTGGCAAATCATAAAGTAGTCGATAGAGCAACAATGTTTTTTTTTTTAGAAAAGAATAGAATCATATGTTATCTCATTCTGTGTCATTAAATGATACTGACAGATATAAAAATTGATAGCTTCTTGCTTTCACTTGTTTTCGGATCTTTCATTTTGCGGCTGGTTTCAAAGAAATGGGGATGGATTTTTTTCGAGCCAAAGAACTGTTCTCTTTTTCAAATAATTCTATCATTTACATTGTGAGAAACATATCTCAATAGTAATTACTATAATAGCATTATATAATAAAAATAATGAGATATGAAAAATATATATGAAAAAATATGAAAAATAATATAATAAAAATTACCGATCACTAAAAGAAAATAAATTAATTAATAATCTTATGTATAAATATTAGATCTTCATTGTAATATAATTTATTGTATTTCGTATAGATGTATTGAACTAATTAATAATTATGGAAAATTTCATTCATAAAACTTTCTATATCTGTAATTGTAAACAAAAGTAATTATACTTATTTCTCAAAAAAAAAAAAAAAAATATATATATTGCTTTCGTAGGTTGAAAAACACGTTCGTT